CGCTGCCCTTCCCGCTCGCCGCCGGCCCCCCGAAGCGGGGGGCTTTCCCGGGGGAGAGCTCCGGCCTCGGAGCCGTTTTGGATGCAGCCGGCGGCTCCCCCGCGTCTGGGCGCTTGCCTCGCTTCGTTACTTCCCTCCGCCAGGGCTGCGCGGGGGGACGGCGAGGGGCGGCCCGGGGCCCTCGGGCGGAGCGGCGAAGGGGGCCGAAGGAGATGTTGCTGCGGGGGGGGGACGACGGCCGTCGGGGCAGGGCGGCCGCCGCTCCCCGGGCTCCCTTGCTCGCCGCCCGGCGGCAGGGCGCCGCGCCGTGCCGTGCGTGGGAGGCTGCCGGGGCTGCGCGGGGACGCCGGAGGAGGAGGCGGTGGCAGTGACCGGCCCTTGCTTTCTCCCCGCAGAGCAACAAGATGCTGAACTACAGCCCCTCGGGTGTCAGCGGGTGCCTGCTGGACAGGAAGGCGGTGGGCACCCCGGCCGGCGGGGGTTTCCCTAGGAGGCACTCTGTCACCCTGCCCAACTCCAAGTTCCACCAGAACCAGCTCCTCAGCAGCCTGAAAGGGGAGCCGGCTCCCATGCTGGGCCCCCGGGAAAGCCGCTTCCGGGACCGCTCCTTCTCCGAGGGCGGCGAGCGCCTGCTGCAGCAGAAGCAGCCCGGGGGACAGGTCAACTCCAGCCGCTACAAGACGGAGCTGTGCCGCCCCTTCGAGGAGAACGGCGCCTGCAAGTACGGCGACAAGTGCCAGTTCGCCCACGGCATCCACGAGCTGCGGAGCCTCACCCGCCACCCCAAGTACAAGACCGAGCTGTGCCGCACTTTCCACACCATCGGCTTCTGCCCCTACGGGCCGCGCTGCCACTTCATCCACAACGCGGAGGAGCGCCGGGCCGTGGCGGGGAGCCGGGAGCCCCCTGTCGCCGACAGACCCCGCCTGCAGCACAGCTTCAGCTTCGCCGGCTTCCCCAGCACTGCTGCCGCCAGCGGGCTGCTGGACAGCCCCACTTCCATCACCCCGCCGCCCATGCTGAGCGCCGACGACCTGCTGGGCTCCCCCACCTTGCCTGACTGCGCCAGCAACCCTTTCACCTTCTCCAGCCAGGAGCTGGTCAGTCTCTTTGCCCCCAGCATGGGGGTGCAGGTGCCCAGCGGGAGCTCCCCCACCACCTTCTTGTTCAGGCCCATGTCCGAGTCCCCCAACATGTTTGACTCGCCACCCAGTCCTCAGGACTCCCTCTCTGACCAGGAGGGCTATCTGAGCAGCTCCAGCAGCAGCCACAGCGGCTCAGATTCCCCTATCCTGGACACCTCAAGACGTCTTCCCATCTTCAGCAGACTCTCCATCTCCGATGACTAATCTGGGGTTATTCCTCTTGCTCCCCCCCACCTCTATTATGATGTTAAGCTGAACTCCCCCCCCACCCTGTCCCCAGTAGTCTGAGCTGGATGTTAACGTGTCCACCTGCCTGCCGTAGACCCACTGGCTTAAACCTTAAGTGCCAAAATACGATGAAAAGCAATAACGTTTACAAAATTAGTGCCTTTTAATGCTTTCACTGTGACTGTATTACCTCTCCAGCTGCAGAGGGCACCAGCAGCTCTGTGCACTTCCAGATGTGCAGGAAATGTCCGGATCCAGCTCCCTCCACTGGCCATGTACTGCATCGCCCTCTCCCAGTCCCTTCCTGACTGGCCAGTTTCCGCTAGGCTGCAGGCATGTGGGCAAGCATTAACATCCAGTCCTCTTTCTCCCCTCCCCTTAAAGACTAATCTTGCCTGGATCCGCTCAGGTCTGCGGGAAGAAAAGCTGAGAACGGACAAAGATTGTAACATGAGTGGGACTTCGACTGGGAGGAAGGAAACAAAAAAGAAAACAAAAACCAGATGGACTATGAGAGACTTGATTTTGGTGCTAAAAGTTCCCCGTGTATTCATGTGACACCTTAAAACAAATAAAGAAATAGAGGGGGTGGGGCCAACAGAAGTCATTCCACACACACACACACACACACACACACACACACACACACACACACAAGTTCGTGTAAACAAAGTTCCAGTAGACATAGCTTTAATGGTTTTGCTCTAGAGTACTTTAGACCTATCTTAGAGCACTCACGCCAAGCTTTTTATTATTTTTTTCTGGGTTTTTAATTTTGTATAACTTTTCAGAAATTGGAGAGCAAATTTTGCTTGTCACTGCACAACAATATAAAAAAGCTTATTTAACTTATCAAAACGTATTTATTGCCGAAACCTATGCTTTTTTGTTAATTTTGTTCATATTTATCGGGATGATGAATCCATAGAATATATTCTTTTATGTTTAAATTATGATCTTCCATATTAATCTTAAGATTGTGAAGTGTCTTTTTCCTTTTTTCCCCACAGTTTAATATATTATACTACAATGACATTTTTTGTAACTTTACACTTTTTTTGGTTATTTTATTTTAAAAAATGAAAAATTAATTTAAAAAAATGCAAAAACTGTGTTTGGATTATTTATTTTAGAATTTCCCCCCCCCCCCCTTTTTTTTTTGTGTTGGACTGCAAATTGAGTTAATGTGCTTCTTTGCCTTTCTTCTTCTCTTCCCCTCCTCTGGGTCTTGCCTACCTGGGCTTTAGAATGTACATACCTGAGCTCTGTTGCGAGACAGTGTGGAAGGAAGACCTTTTTCTTCCTCTTTTTGTATAGATTCTTCAAGGAGAAAAGCCTTGGGCTCAAAAGTGCCTATCTGAAGACATTCCAAATACAGTTTGTCTTTGCGTTTCTGTATTCCAAGTTTGGAGTTTTCCTTGCTGAGGTGAACGGGACTGGCACAAAGAGAATAATGAATGTAATTTTTTTTTCCCCTGTTACTGTTCACTACATTGCTTTTTCTTCCTCTTTGTGTGAGTTTATTTAAAAGAGAATCTCTTTTGTAACGACTGTTTGCAGTTTAAATCAATAAACCCCAAGTTTTTTCAAGAAACTGACAGTGGAGCTGGTTTTACTTGCAAAGATCGAGGGCCTGGTTTTAGACAACCACTCAAATGCAGATACTTCCCTCTTGACCCTTGAGGTACCCACTGTGCGCTCAGGCATCCCTTCATCGTTCCTCACTGATTAAGCGGGTCAGCCCTGCAAGCGTGTGGGTGCGAATACCTGGTGTGGCCTCTAACCCTCTCTGTCTCTTACGGAGTCCTCCCATCTTGAGTTGCTCAGTCTGTTCCTGCAAACTTCTTTCTGATCAGTGTAGCTTAAACCTTGGATTGGCTTTCGCTCCTTGTGTGCCCCGTGTTCCTGCACAGCTCCTTCCCCCTCAAGGAGGGCCTACGTGTGTTTTGGGTGAAGCTGAAGTGGGATGTTGAAGTGGTAACAGATTTCCCACATCTCAGGTCTGGCGTGTTAGTGGTACTGCTCTGCTTTGGTAGAGCGGCTGTTTGGTATTTTGTATGTGAGAGGAACATGGCCCCCCAGCAAAGTCTTGGTATACGCACAGATCACTCTGCCATCATGTTCAAGCCCTCGTACCCCTTGAAGTATCAGTCAGCAATCCCAGAAACTTCTGAAGCCAGGGGTTTTGTTTAGGGACACTTCTTTGCCAGTGCTGCTCATGGTGCAAGTCTTGTGTTTTCACCCTTGAGCTCTCCTCTGGAGCAAGCTTGGTGCTCTTCCCCACCTGAAACTGTTCCAGCTCTTTTCCAAATCGGGCGTGGAATATTGCTGCCGAACCACCAGTCCTTCAGCTGTCTTGACATGCCTCAATGTTCAGGAGAGACATTTCCTAATTCATGTTGGAGAAGTTCCTGCCAAGCAAAAGCTGCAGGATACCTCGAGGCTTACCCTGCTGTACCTTCCCTGCTGCTGGCTTTGTGCAACACACTTTCTTGTGTGGTCTGGCAATAAAGGTGGAGGAAAGATGGTGGAAGAGGAGTGTGGCTGGTAGAAGCTGGTTCCCATGAACGGTGCAAAAGCTGTATGGGGAGTTTGCTCGGCAGATGCTGATGTAACTAGCACGCAGTGCGGTCTGCGTGCTGATCCCTGAGAGAAGAGCCTCGGGCACAGCCCCGGTACTGTTCAGCGGCCTTCAGATAGCTTCTGCTGGCTGCAGCCTTGCCCCTGGGCACAAAGGCGATGGGGGCCACATGAGAGATGGGCTTCTGCCTGGAAGACCCATGCGTGGCTGCAGCGAGCACCCAGGCCTGCCTCCTTCCCCGCTGCTGGAAGCTGAGCCGCTGGCCTCTGAAGAGCGAGGCGTATCTGATCTGGAGAGGATCCCAAGCCTATCGCAGGGCGTGCATGTGGAGCTTGAAACTGCTTGCTTCCTCTCTGGACTTTCTGTGCAGGTCTTAAAACAAACAGTCTTTGCCCAGTTAATAATTGATGAAGAAAATAGCTGTATTAGTTGCACGGTGCTATTGGCATGACAAACAACTGGGAAGCTGCACTAGAAGTAGGTCTTCGCCCACGGTACTTATGTACTTCCCATGTCCTTCTAGTGCACTGGTTTTGGGAAGCCAGCACCATTTTTCTCCTGTGAGTTTATTAATGATAAATGCTCTATCACTCAGGGTTTTGCTTTTTGAAACTAACGTTGAGCTAGGTCACGCAGGGGATAGAGAAGAGCAGAACAGACAGCATCAGAAGTTTACTTTCTGTAATCGTTTGTAAGAGAGAGAGAGAGCACGAAGAGCCTCCAGCAATGCAGTGATTTGCCTGATCTGACACCATTAGCATTCATTGCGGCCTGGGTATATGGCAGCAGCTAGTCTGGAGGGACTTCTCCTCTGGATTTACCATGGATGAGTTGTCCGTGCCGTTTCTCATAGGGTTAGCATCTGTGTCCCCTAGCAGTTCGCCATCGTTGATAATAGCCTAGCCAAGGCTCAGAAAAGTAAATAGCCTTTCCTGGCACGTTCCTCTGACTTGAGGGCTCCTCCATGCTCTGGCTCATTGATTTAGTGCACGGGACTCTCCGAGTGGCCAGGAAGAAAGGGCTGGCCTGTACACTCGTGCAGTTGCTCCTGATGTGCCTGGTGTGCCAGGGCAGAGAAAAGCACCCACAAGGACAAGATACCTGTTGGCCCATGTAAGGTGGCATGGCAGACTGTGCCTTGGTGCACTTTACAGGTTGCCCTCACAGCTCTTACTGTGGGGCAGGGGGACACCTAGGGTGGCTCTTGCAATTCCTCATGTACTTTTTGTTATAGTCATGGACGCTTGGCTGTGGCCTCCTTGTAAGAAGACTGGGTCCATGCCTCTGGGCTGCAGGCATTCGCTGTCACTTATTTTTTGGCTTCAAAGTCAGGTGACTTTAGTGCTATCCACATTCAACATGTCTAGCTGTCTTTGGAAATTACAGCCAGCGTGTATGGCTGGCTGTGCCAGTTGCCTCTTGGTAAGGAGTAACATGATGACTTTGATCTGCAGAGCTCCAGGTGGTTCAGATCCCACTCCGGTGGCTGCCTCCCTCCTTCCTATTTCCTACAACAGCTGTGGGTGTCCCAGCGACTGTACTGGCTATTCCCTTGCTATGGGCTACATGTGGCTTTTGTACCAAACATCTTCAGTTCTGCAATCGGGGGCTGGCGCCTCATTTCCTGAACTTCTCTGTAGGTGAGGGCTGCAAAGTCAAATAGAGTTTCTTTGCTGTTGTTTTAAAGGCAGTTGGGAACTTTACTACCTAGTTTTGGCCAACCTTTGTTTAGCATCACTTGTACTTAGGCATGGTGTGCCAGATTGCAAGTAACAAAAAATACTGCTTAAAAAGAACCCTGAAGTGCTCCAAGTTCCTGGTCCTGACAGAATTTGCCTCATCAGCATAGTCATGAAACCGGGAGACAGAGAGGGAAAGAACTTGGAAAAGCAGGGAACAGCAGAAGTACGCCTGGAGAACTGTTACAAGCTGGCTTGAATTTTCAGTCTGTACGGTTCCTGCGAAGGGAGGGTAATGGTCTGTGAATGGGACTTGGAGCTGCTGTTGCAGATGAGGTAGGGACGACTGGGCTCTGCCAGGCCTTGCACAGCAGAGGGGAGATGGCGGTGGGGCAGGAAACGATGGGGTCGCCGTTAGAGATTGGGAGCAAGGCAAGAGCTAGGGATCAAGTCCATACAGCATGGGGATAGCAAGGGTGAGAGAGCAGCCATGCTATCTTGAGTCTGAAGACTTCTTAACTACTGGTGTTTGGATGGATGAAGGCTAATGAACTGGGTCTCTCCAGTAGGGCTCAGGAGCAGCGACATTGAAGGGAAGGTCTGGATAATGTAGCCTGCTGGATACTATCTGATGACTATGCCCAAGGATATGAATGAGTATTAAGATGCAGTAATACATGCAAAAACCACAGCATGCCCTTTACACTTGCTAATTGCTGCAATTTGTGTGGCCTGCATTGGGGAAAGCTAGCATGTGCCTGAGCCTGGAGAAAGAGGCTTTGGGAGAAGGTGCAGTGGTCAGTGTGTGAGCAAAAAGGCTCCTGGCTCCAGTGCTGGAGATGTTGTGGGGGCTGGAGGCTGCAGATGTGTCCAGGGGCGGCACTGACACAAAAGCACAGCCCTAATACCTGCCTGAAGGGAGAGAAGGGCTTGTGCTTGAGGGAGGCTCCTCGTGCCCTACATAACAACAGGCAAACATCAAGACATGTGGTCTTGTACCCCACAGTGGGGTCAAGGAGGCAGTTCTGCTGTGGGGAGGTGGTGTGATGAGCGACCAGGCGCTCTGGTGACAGGCAAAAGTGTGGCGAGTGAAGCGAAAACGGCAAAAAAATGAAGAGTGGTGCCTTCCTTGCCGGGGTGCCACAGAAGAGGGGTCAGGAGGAGCCCATAGCAGAAGCAGTTTGAGGGGTATGAACCAGCCACAAACAGGAGGAAAACAGCAAAACTAGTGTTGGGAAGGAGTTCAGCTGGGAGGAAGGGGTGACACCAGTTGCAGAGGGTCTGGGGCTGGGAACGCCGGGAGGGATGGCGAGACTGGCTCGGCGGGGACGCTGCAAGCGTCTGCCGGGAACTCGTGGAACAGCCCTTGCGCTCGAGGCCGAGTTCAGCCCAAAACGTTAGAAGATGATTCTGCCCGGTGATGTAAAATGTCCTTTGTTTGGAGACTCTCTGGCCTGTTAAGCAATGCCTGTTCCTCACAAAGCCGACGCTTATTCCCTAGAATACTTCCAGCGACCAAAAAAAAAAAAAAAGCTCCTCTAAGACACCCTAAACCAATACCTGCTGTGACTAAGCCCTGTGGGCAGCTCCGCAGCTGATTTATATCCTCCCCCTCCAAACTGAAGGGGTTAGAGTAGAAACAGACGCCGCGTTAAACATAGCCGAGGGCCGCGAGCGAGGCAGCTCTGCAGCGAGGCGGGGAGGAAGCGGGGCTGCGGGGCGGCTGCTGCCAGGCGTGACGCCGGTTCGGGTTTCCTCGTAGGCAGAACAGAGCTCCTTTTGGCTGGTGCAGCTTTATGGGCTCGCCTGGGTTTATTATACTGCAAATGTTTTGAATTCCACGTCTTAATTTCCAGAGAGGCTTTGCTTAACTTTTGCTGCTTCTTTTTCCCCGGTCTTGATTTTTTTTAATTTTTTTTTTTACTACCGCTGCCTTAACCTCTTCTTTTTGACCGGGTTTTGGTCAAAGCTGCCGTTTTCTGAGCAAACAGAGGACCGGAGTTCTCCCTGCCTGGGCTCCAGCTGCAAATTAATCTCTTTTCATAGTTTCATTTTATGTCCGCCCACTATCCCCACCACATTAACTTAGTCAACACATGGAAGTGAAATTTTTCCATGCAGGATCCTGCGGGTTGTAAGGCTGTGTGGAGCACGTGACTGCCAGCTCCAGAGTTTTCTTGCACCTCTGGGTGGAAGGAAGTTTCCTCATCCCCCACATATGTGAGCGGTTGTCGGTGTGATGTGAAAAGTTTTAACAACTGGAGTCGGTGGAAACATTTCAGGGTTCAGCATCTCTCTGTGTATTTAAAGCCCTACCACACCGGCCGGGCAGAG